AAAGGCATACAGAGGTAATATGATATTAAATTTCACTACCTCACTGTATCATATGTATAGTGGTATTTGTATGTTGTGTATACAATCAGTGATTTTAATAAATCAATTTAACCCTATTACCATGGGTATCCTTTACTGCACATGACACAAAGTTTTAGTGTCTTACATTTAAAATTTTATTAAACTACTTTTGTTTATGTTATACCAATTAGTATAGCATAAAATATTGTATATAAATTTTAAGTTCTTAATTCTATAAAGCAATATTTAAAAAAATCCTAAATTTCTCCTTGTGTGACACATGACACATTTTCTCTAGACATCTTCTTTTCTCTATTTTATCCACCATCCCTCCAAAAAGTACAAAATTCAATATAAATTACTCACTATAAAATCGTCATTATTCAGACAAACCATATTTTTTTTAGCTTTCAATTTTATTTGGTTACAGAGCTATCGAATAGAAAATCAGACCACTTCTGCCACACCCACCTGTCACATCCTCTCTCTTTCAGGATTTGTTAATAGTTGTCTCTTACATTTAATTATATGTTACCTATAACAATAAAAAGCAGATATGTATAACACTGTGTTCTAAACAGATAATCATCAGTTTTACTCAGAGTACAAGCTCCATTCCCATGGGAAAGTTAACAACTGACTTGGGTGAATTTGTAACGGCTCTTGTTGCATAGTTAGAAAGCTAGAAAATTCTTGAGAGTTAGGGGAAATTGTCTACTTTTTGCATATTATTAGTCTATGTTCTTTGGTGCATTATTTAATTAAATAAAAATTATTTACTGCATTACTACCATTAGTACAAAAAAGTAGGATTAAGTGTCATTGACAATCAACAGCAAGAATAAAGAAGATTGGGCAAGTACTATTATTATAAAAGTAACTAAAACATAAAAATAGGGATATTTCAAGGTTAGTTAAGACTTCATTAGGTAAAATAAATAATATAATAAAAATATTTCATGAGGCACACATGCAGGCAGCTCGTCTTAGCTTGTGGGTAATGTAATTCGATAGCGTAATGTGAGCTGCCCATACCCCCGAGTGATTTACAACTTATATTAGTGCAGATGGTAGTTAGACATGGTTCAGAGGTCAATCAAAAGGGCAATAAAACATTAAAATTTAATTATAAATAGATGTATATTGTTATGAGTTTAAAGCTACTTAGGATAAACAAATGTATTAGGTTGTCAAGAAATTAATGTTGCATTTTTTTATATGAAAAGACCCGAACAACTTATATATCAAAACATAACATTTATTAAATGAAATAGTCTCCATTCTTATCAATGATACTTTTCCTTCTTACAATCAGGTTGTTAATTCCCAGATTAAAGAAATCACTTGGCTTTTAAGCAAAAAACATGTCGATGTCCTCTTTAAAACCTTCCATATTTGCATATGTTTTCCCATTAAGATGGTGTTGCAGCGAACGAAAAAGATGGTAATCTGATGGTGCTATATATGGATAATATGGTGGGTGGGGGAGAACTTCCCAACCCAACTACATAATCTCTTGTTGCGTCAAATGTGCCACACGTGGACGTGTATTGTCGTGGAGAAGAAGAACACCTTTCGATTCACGAGTGAAGGGCGATTCTGATGAAGGGCTTGATTTAACCGTTCCAGTTGTTGACTATAGATCTCTACATTGACAGTTCCTTGTGGATTGAGGAGTTAGAAATGAATTACTCCTTTGATATCCCACCAAATGCAAAGCATCACTTTATGCAGATAGTCTAGGTTTTGGGGTCTTAAGTGTTTTTTGTCTAGGACTGAGCCATTGTTTCCGGCATTTAATATTCCCATAGAGAATTTTTTTCACCACTGATGACAATTCTGTCTAAAAATGGTTCATACGCATTACGCGCCAGAAAAGACAAGCAACATTTACATGTTGGAAACGATGGCCATCAGAGAGTTTGTGAGGCACCCAAACACCTTTATGGATTTTCCC